AGATAAACTGGATAGATTGACAGATAGATTAGATAGACATTGGGTAGATTGGATAGATTTAGACAGACTGGTAAATTGGATACATTTAGAATTTTAGATAAACTGGATGTATTACATAAATAAATTTGATAGTTTAGATAAAGAGATTTGATAGATTAGATAGACATATTTGATAGATCAGACAAATATACTTTATAGATGAGATAAATTTGTAGATGAGATAGATAAATCTAGAAAATTAGATAAATTTGATAGATAAAATAAAATATTAATAGATAAATTACATACACAAGAGATAGGTATGATAGATTAGATAGTGAGATATCAAACATGAGATAGGTTTGATAAATCAAATAGGTAAATTAACTGAATTAGATACATAGATTACTAAGATTAGATATATGAGGTTTATACATCTGATAAATTTGATAAGTTGATGTGATAGGTTAGATTGATAGCTTGATAGTTGAGATAACTAGATTTTTTATGAATTAAAGATAACCGAATTTGATAGATTAGATGAATAGATTTAATGGATTATTTATATATGGTAGATAGATAGATCAATTTAATTGATTAAATAGATTTGACTGATTAGACAAGTGCATCTGACAAATCAAATAGATAGATAGATGGATAAAATGACTGATAAACATATAGAGAGAAGATAGAAAAACAGGTAAATAATATCAATAAACAAGCATAAAGACAAAAAGAAAAATAAATCAGACTCGTAAACAAATAAGACACAAAAGTGAGATAAAGAAAATAAACAAATAGATGAGACAAAAATAGAAACAATAATACAAAGAATAGAAAGAAAAACAGGTTAATAATATTCAATAAACAAACACAAAGACAAAAAAACAAATAGATACGAAAGTGAGATAGAGAAAGAAAACAAATAGAGAACCAAAAAAAGAAATAAAAAGACAAATACACTTCAAAATAGATAGATAAGAATAACAATATATAAGACAAAATTAAAATAGACAATAAATACCACAAGCAATTACACAATTATATAAGACAAACAAACAAATAAGTCAAACAAATAGATAAGACACACAAATAATTCATACACAAAAATAGATAAGAGAAACATATGGATACATATATGGGACAAACAAATTAATTAGGGATAAAAAATTGCAAAAACAGATAGGTAGATAAGGAAAATATATAACATAAATAAGGTAAATGGATTACATAGATGAGAAAGACAATGGTAAGTGGAAAAGATGTATTAAACTGACAAAAGTCATAGGATATTACATAAATAAGATAGGATTAAGTAAAGTTCCCTTAAATCGGTGAGATGAAATTAGAATGTTTAGAATTATAAGACTAATTAGATATATAAGATAAGATTCGATAAAAGTTAGGTTGGATAGAATGCA